CATCGAGATCCTGCTCGACAAGGAGTACCTTGAGCGCCTGGAGGACGACGAACTCGGTTATCTGGCTTAAGCACGCGGGAGTATGTTACTGTTTTGTACAACTAGGATGGGGGAATCATCAGGAAGCGGCTCGACGACGCCCGGCCCGTTTCATGCGCCCGGGGTTTGCAGCTCAGCATCCGGTCTTTGCGTGGTTGCCTTGCGTTGCATAGTATCAGTTGCGCTGCTGGCAGCATCGTTCATGGATACTATGGTGTCTGGGTCACATAGATCGATCGAGCTTAAGGTGGCCGGCCGGACGAAGGCAGTTCGCACGTCCGACCAGCGGCGATGTGTGCCTGGTACAGACCATCAGGGTTTGTTGCTGGCTTGTTGGTGCCTGATCACAGTATCTCCTGATCTTGGCGAGGTGGCGGTAGCTTGGTCTGCTTATCGGACAACGTAGGGAGGCGGGTTAATGAGAGACGATCAGACTTTAGTAGCAACCTACTCACGACCAACCTGCATTAATCCCTCGTGTACCTATACAGGTAGACTATACACTGCTTAGACTCACTCCTAAGGACCGATCATTACAGTGAAATCGCGCGACTCACAAGCCCGTACCCAGACCCCTATCCTGACTCGACGACCCCCGCACCCCGGATTCTCTATACCCCACAGTTTCTCCCGACCACCCGCCCGGGAACGACTCCGTCCTCCCTTCACCACAAGCCCGCCAAGCGGACATCGTTTTCCGCAGTTATGACGATCCCGCTACTGTGCTCCCGTCGGCCCTAGGAGTACGGCCCGGTCGGTATATAGGTAGGAAGGGCATGTCTCTCTCTCTTCTCCCGCGTTCAAGTGAACGTTATCTTCCCCCTCAAACAAGTCTTCGTGATCTAGCGAACACCAGACAAGTTCTACTCTCACCATGTCTCCCTCAACCTCCAACAAGCGGCCGGTCCGCATAGCAGGCTGCTCCGGCGGCTTCACCGACCGCGCCCGCGCCATCACCAGCCTGGCAGCCGACCCCGAAGTGGACGCCGTGATAGGCGATTGGTTGTCCGAGATGGTTTGTCCTTCCTCCTTCTTCCCCCCTCCTCTCTTCTCACGCCCTCTAACCGCGTCCGGTGCTAGACAATGACGGTCCACGGCAGCGGCAAGGTCCGCAACAGCCCCAAGTCCGCCTCGGCCACGACCCTAGAGGAGCGCATGGCGACGGCCATGTACGCCGACACGTTCCTGCAGTGCTTCGAGCCGGCCATCGAGAACCTCGTCAAGAACGGCGCCAAGCTGGCCGTCAACGCGGGCGCCAGCGACACGGAGCTGCTCGCCCAAGTATGCGCCAAGATGATCGCCGACCGCGGGTACAAGCTAAAAGTCGCCTGGGTGGAGGGCGACGACGTGACGGAGTCGGTCAACAAGCTTATTGGGAATGGCGAGAAGTTCGAGAGCCTCATGCACGGCAAGACGCTGGCGGAGTGGAACCTCGAGCCCGTCTGCGCGCAGGCCTACCTCGGCGGTCTGGGCATCGCCGAGGCGCTGCGGCAGGGCGCGGACGTCGTGATATGCGGGCGGGTCGCGGATGCCGCGCCCGTCATCGGCGTGGCGGCGTGGTGGCACGAGTGGAAGGCGGACCAGTTCGACGAGCTCGCGGGCGCGCTGGTGGCGGGGCATTTGATCGAGTGCTCGGCGTATGTTACTGGTGGTTATTACAGCGGGTTTAAGGATCTGATCAAGAGCGGGAAGCATGTTAATATGGGGTTCCCCATTGCTGAGGTTGATTATAAGGGGGAGTGTGTCATTGCGAAGGAGAAGGATACGGGCGGTTGTGTTACGGTGCAGAGTGTGACGTCTCAGTTGGTTTATGAGATTCAGGGACCGTGAGTTTATCTTGCCTTGTCGTGAGAGAAGAACAGGGGCTGACCAGAGAACAGATGGTACTACAACTGCGACGTCGTCGCGGACCTGCAAGGTATCCAGATGACCCAGCTGGGCGAGGACCGCGTCCACGTCAGCGGCGTCAAGGGCCTGCCCCCTCCGCCCACCACCAAGGTCGGCATCACCGCTCCCGCCGGCTTCCAGGCTGAATGGCACATTTATCTCTGCGGTCTCGATATGGAAGAGAAGTGCGCCGTCACCGAAGCCCAGGTCCGGTACGCCATCGGCGAGGAGAACATCAAGAAGTTCACGACCCTCAAGTTCCACCAGAACGGGTCATCCCCCATCGACGCCGCGAATCAAGACCTGGCGACCGTCGACTTCCGCATCTTCGCCCAGACTAAGGACCCGGAACTCCTCCGCCCCGACGTCCCCAACGGCTTCAACCGCTGGGTGCTGGAGCTTTTCCTCCAGTCCGTACCCGGCGCCTCTCTCTCCAACGATCTGCGCCAGACCGTCCCCAAGCCGTACTACGAATACTGGGTCTCCCTCCTCCCTCAGTCAGAACTCAACCACCGCGTGCACCTCCTCTTCGACGCCCCTACCAAAATCATCACCATGCCCGCGCCCAAGCTCACAAAGACCTACCCCCGCCAACAACCCAGCTACGAGACCACCTCCCCGCTCCCCCTCACGACCTGGGGCGAGACAGTCCGCGCTCCCTTGGGGTCCGTCGTCTACGGCCGCTCGGGCGACAAGGCGTCGGACTGCAACGTCGGCTTCTTCGTCCGCCAAGAAGACGAGTGGGAGTGGCTAAGGTCTCTGCTCACCGTCGACAAGATCAAGGAGTTGTTGGGCGAGCAGGAGTACAAGGGCAAGCCCATCGACCGGTTCGAGATCCCCGGCGTCAGGGCGGTGCATTTCCTGCTGCACGATCATTTGGATAGGGGGTATAATGCTTGTAGTAATTACGACACGCTGGGCAAGTTGGCTGGGGAGTATCTCCGGTCCAAGACGGTTGATGTGCCCAAGGTGTTTCTGGACAGGGGGAGGATATAAGCGACTGGCGACTGGCGGTTGAGGTAAGATAGTTTATATACTTCAAAAAGGCAATGGATTCACAGTGGCACCAATAATAAGCTGGAAGTCGTCTTGTCTTTTTTTTTCCGTGAACAAATATAGCTGCTGGTCACCTACTTTCTGCTCTCCCGTACCTTTGTGAAATCTCGGTGAAACCGACTTGCTTCGCCCTATCGAGTGTTACGATAAATCATGTTATGAAGCACATATACGGGGTCTACGAGTCTTCGATCCGAACAAACTGTAGCATATTGCAGTGCCGTAGAGTGTGTATGCCCGAGCGGGTGGTGGATCCATTGGCCATGATCTGAGTTTAGTTTAAGTTCATCTGCCCGGGCTCTTTGCATACAGTTAACTGTCCCGCGAACTTTGTTGGACTCACATGTTCGCAGAGTGCTTGTTTGAGTAGGTGAACATTTCGGGGAAGGGGAAGTCTTTGGACCTCGAATGGCACCCATGATTCCCGAGTGTCTTGGATGAGTAAGGTAGGAGGTACTGATCTCTCTCGCCTGCCGTTGATAACGACCTAGAGCTTGCTCGTCGACCTCATATGTTTCCGCAATGGGTCAGCTGTGCTCTCATGTCCGTGGTTCCACGGCGCCGGCTCCAGCGCCGCCGCTTCTGAATCTCCCGGTCGAACTGCTCCTGTCGATTACGGACCATCTCTCTCCCACTCCCGAGTCCATCATCGCGCTCTCATTAGCATGCAAAGCTCTCTCGGCCATCCTACGGAACCACGTAGCAAAGCTCACGACGGCCCACGGCAGCAACCTCAAGTGTAGGAGCGACTTCCTAGTCTTGCTAGAGAGGGACCTCAGCGACAGATTCTTCTACTGCTCAATATGCCTCCAACTACATTGCTTCGAGGCCGACGGCTGGACCAAGCATTCCCGACCCTTAGATACCATACAAACACAGCTTTCCCGCCAGCTGTTCTGTCCTGGTACATCCGACTTTCGACTGTGCGTAACTTGTCTCAAGTCTTTGCTCCTTTTACTATAGAAAGCTAAACATAACTCCTCACCAAATAGGTCCTTTGCCCACGCCCGCCTGATGATGAACCGCCACCTCTACGGCCCCCCGGCGGGCCTGCCTCTGTCGAGCCTTACTTTGGGCAACACGAAGGCGAACTGCGACGGCTTCGCGTGGACCTACACCACCTCGCGCGCCCTTCTGGCGCGACAGTACCTCTCCGCCCGGATCATCAACAACGAACTCTTCCTTCGCATAACGCACGTGTTTGAGGGGACCGAGACCGGTTTGCGGGAGGCGATCGATAGACTGGGTGGGACCTATCGCCTCTGCACTCATGTCAGGCCCGGGGCGACTGAGGAATACGGTCACGGCAATGGGATGCGGAGGATGGCGGCTCTGACGGATCCCGAGGAAGAAGGCGGGCTGGCAGACCGTCCGTTTTCCGGACGTGTCGGGATGTGCTGCAGTCGTGCACCGCGTGCTTGACTGATTTCACCACTTCTGTTGAGCGTGGTGAGGTGAGAGAGGTGTTTGCCCTGCCGCAGATAGGAATTGAGGTGAGTTATCACCACGTTAGACCATTGTGGCGGAGGAGAGCCCCGCTGATCTTGAATAGCCACATGTCGGACCAGTCGTCTGTGGCTGGCGTGTTGTCATCACGGCCTACCATGGCGTTGGAGGGTGTCGAGATGCGGAGGATTGGAAATGGACGAGCGTTGTCGGTGAAAACACGGGACCGGGAGAGGACTTCTCTGCGGCTCTTGGCGGGCGGGATCCGGCGGCATTCCCTGCCGGGTGGGTGAAGCAGGCATGGCTAGCAGAGGCGCATCAAGAAGACGGACCCGGACCGACTTGTTCACCTGGCATGGAGCGGTGACGGACGTCAGGGACTCGAGGATGACTCGGAACTGTCACAAGCAACGCAATGGCGGTTTGGATAGTGAAGCTGTAGTGAGACGGTGTATGTGTTGCGCTGACAGAGGTCCGATATGTCCAGCCGGGGTGATAGAACTTCGGGGACCGGGAAAAGATGTTACGGTAAAAGGGGGCGCGCTCGAAGATCCATCAACAAAAAGCTTGCCGGTCCCATGGTGTAGTTGGTTTTATCACGTCAGACTAATACACTGAAGGTTCTCAGTTCAAGCCTGGCTCGGATCACAATCGAGGATAGCATACCTCCCTCTTTTTGCCGTTCCTCTTCTTTCCTTTTTTCACTGGTAGTGGCTTGGATGTTGGTCTGTAGGTGGTGGAGTGGGAGCGGCGTCATGAATCGTGGAGATGGAGTCGTGTCGAGATGACAGTTGCGAGCAGCCTTGTTGCTCATTTTGGGCGAAATGCGGTCGACAGCCAAACCAAACTTGAACAACGAGCAGTGTCATTGTTGGTATGAGGCAAAAAAGGGATCTCGGATACGGGGAGTCGAACCCCGGGCTGATGAGTGAGAGTCATCGATGTTACCGCTACACCATACCCGATAAGCCGACTGGAAAGTCGGGAGGATGAACAGAGTGGGATTCGAACCCACGCCTCTTGCGAGACTACGAAGCGAGTGTCGATCACCCTGGAGAGGGTGAAAGAACCTGAACGTAGCGCCTTAGACCGCTCGGCCATCTGTCCTTTGTTCATTGATGAGAGCAGGGGACGTTATTGGTGGTTGTGGATACCCTCCTGAGTCGTCGGACGGTTAGTAGGTAGTGAGGGTTGGGGACGAGACGGTGGATGTGGATAGAGAGTATGAAAGACGGTCGGTGGAGGCGTGGAGGAACAGAGGAGGAAGAACTGAGTTAGAGAAGAATCAGAGCGATATCAATATTCGTGGACATGCAACCCGGCAGAGAGAGCCGCGGCCGACACAGCCACTTCATCCATTTCTTTTGCTGTCCCAGTATTTACAACAGCTTGGGATATCAAGACTGCTCATTCCCCTCAGAGCTGTATCAGTCACCGCTCGTCTGTCTAGCCAGTGCCCCCCATTCTTCTCCAATTATTCCCACATACCAACTTTCCGGAGTAGAGTAGTAAAGACCGTACTTGGCGCCGTCGTCGTCGGTACAGAAAAGCCGGAACAACGCCGGCGGCGGGCAGATCGTGTGCGTCGTGAGTGGTTATCCTCGGCCACAAAGGAGGTCGATCGTCCCATTTGCCAAAACGGCGGAGAACGCCCAACGCCGCAGCTCAGTCGCGCCCGATGCATTCCCAATATCGTGCGCGCCCAACGGAGCGAGTAAGGGCAATCCCTGCACTTCGACCCCTTTCTTCAACGAGCGTGTGGGGAACTAAACAGTACAAGCCGTGTATCGTCGTCGGGCCGGAAGATCTGTCGGACGGACGTGTCCTGCCCCCTAAAACGCCTGCATTGAATGTGAGCGGTCATAAGCCCGCTATGGACCCCTTTATGAACGCCATTAAATATGTTCGTAGAGTGTCCGATACCAAGCGGACCTCAAAGTGATTGGTAAAATCGTGCTTTTCGTAGTAAGTGCAGCCAACCCTGTTGGCCAAAGCGACTCGTACTCTTACTAGAGAATACCTGAGTCCTTCAGGGCATTGTTCAGAATCGTTTCCTTGACGGCGGCGAAGACTAGTCTGATGTTTGATGTGTCGGTAGCTTGTGTGAGGCTGCAGTCTGTGAGCTTCGTATATCCTCCTACTGGCGAATGAATCGGACTTACTGAGGATAGAGGTTCAGATGTGCCCGGTTAACCTGGTTAAACCGCCATAGTAGATATTTCGCCGCCTTGTTGACGTCGCTGCCGCCGGAGTAGTCGGGGAAGTAGTTCCCCAGCGGTGACCTAGACAGCTTCTGCTTGAAGATGTCGACCTTGTTCAAGAAGAGAATGATACTCGTCCTCATGAACCACCTCGAGTTGACGACTGAGTCGAACAACAACAGGCTCTCCATCATCCGGTTCTGTCCATTGTGTTAGAGTCCGCTCGCTTTTCGTGGGTACCGTTCGGAGGTTTACCTGGCTGCTCTCTTCCAGCAGCACCTGGTCGTATTCACTGAGCGCGACGCAGAATATGATGGAAGTGACATTTTCGAAGCAGTGAATCCACTTCTTGCGTTCGCTTCGTTGTCCGCCGACGTCGAACATGCTGGAGGCCGTGTTAGTCTCCTTCACCCCCCTGCAATGGCGCTGGGCCGACTTACTGTATGCTAAGTTGCCCCATCTGGAATCGTGTCTCGTATATACCGGTCGTCTTCGTTCTTGCCCGCAGCACGTCCATTTCGTTAGGGAGGTAGTCTGGGCTCGCAATCCTCTCCGCCTCTTGGAAGAAGCTGCGCACAAAAGGGGTCAGCAATCGCCCTCCATCTCCCATCTAATAAGTGGCATGCTTACTATTCTGCCGAATCCATCAGGTAGAACTCCGTCTGCCGCTCCATCAGCTGGTCCTTGGCGGGATCGTTCCATATCGATATCACCGCTTGGCCGACCTTGGGATCCAGTTCGGCCTGCGGGCCGGGCTCGAGTGTGTAGTTGAGCAAGAAATCACTATAATCTTTGTTGATCTCGCTTACTGGCTCGATCTCGAATTGTCGCATGGCGCCGACGACGGCCTTGGCGCACTCGATCAGGTTCTTGAAGATGGTCGGTCGGTAGTTGTAGAGCTCGTCTTCGCTGTAGCCCTTGAGGTGGATGATCTTCATCTGCTTCACGATGGTCGACTTGCCGCTCTCGCCGGAGCCTGCGGAACCGGGTATTAGTAACCATTTGATGTGTGCATTTCCCTCGAGAAATCCGCCGGCCGCATTGCAGTTTGTGTGTGGCATACCTAATAGTAGAATCTTGCATTCTCTCCGCAATCGTTTCGAGTCCTCCTCGAGATCCTTATCAATCTTCTGACTCCTCTTCTTCAACTCGGCTTCCTCGCTGCTTGAGCTCATACATGCCCCCATGGTCATAGGCTGCGACGGCTCGAATGGCGAAACCACTTAGGTGTTGTGTGGTATTCCGGTACGGCCGGGACGGGATGTATCGGTGCGCGATACTCGACGGTTCTTCGGTTTGTTGGCCGGGTCCACGCTAGAGCCCCATGAGAGCGGATGCGATTGTTTGTTCGAGGCTCTTGTCTTCGGGCGGTGTGATTGTCTTGGCCTGACCTCGAGGGAAGACCGAGACAAGGAGGCGATATGTGATAGAGGGCGCAGCTGCAGAAAGCTGCAATCGGTTGCTGTGTCGTGACGGGTAGCGGCAGGCAGCTTCCAAGATGGGCGGTGGAGGTTGGTTGTTGGTGGAACCGACGTGTCGAATTCGATGCCGTCGTTGTCGTCTCTCTCGCCGACTGACCCGTCTATTCTCCCGAGATCGACCGGGAGGAGTGTAAAGAAGCGGGAAGAGAGGGAAATGTTTGTCGAGACACTCGAGATTGCGAAATGTGTTTTATCCGAGCAGGTGGTTCGTTTCGACACGGGGTGCGGTAGAGTGAATGGGTGGTACAAGATAGCAAGCTGTGGCCCAAACGGTGGTGTCGTGGACGGTAGGCGGTAGACGTTGAGGTGGATTGAATTGCTTGTGTGGGATGGGCAGCGCAGGCAAACATGTACGAAAGTGAAGGAGGTGTGTGCTGCCGAGGTGAAGCGCAGGATGAATGGATGGCCGGTGCCCCAGGTGGATGTGTGCAGATGATGAGATAGATGGGAAAAAGGCTTGTGGCTTTTCTGGATCAAATGGATACAGTAAGTACCTTTCTCTTCTTCCTCAGCGGAAATGCACGAATGGGCAGCCAAATGCGTAATAAGTGAGACTGCGGGGAAGAAGTGAGAAGTGTGAAGTGTGAAGTGTGAAGTTGCTTGCTACGGAATCCAGACTCCGCAAACTTTCGAAGACCACCTACGATGCTGGTACCGTCCCGTATGCGCTCAAGATCTCAGCAGTTGTGATGAAGAGAAGGAAGCGCTGCAGAAATGCAATGTTGCAGTTGCAGCAGCAGAAGAAAAGAGACGATCAATCAAGATCAACCAAAGACAGAGTGAGAGAGCATGCATCAAGCTTCGGTCGAGTCTTGATGATGATGGCCAGCAGGTACTGTGCTATGCACCATCATGTTAGGAAGCTACCAGCCACGTCCACTTAGCCCTCGCTCTCGTGTTTGTATCGCGCTAATGATGTCGCCGAGGAGCACTTGTTTGCACTTGCTTTTCCGTGGCTTGGAGCTCATGGCACTACGGCGGGCGCTAGGGCCCAAAGCGGCAAGTGGCAAGCGCCTAAACGTCTCCGCACTCGACTTCATCACCGCTAAACCGCTAGATCGAACTCCATAATTAGCTCCCTACCACAGTATCCATCTTTCATCCCTGGTTCCGACCGGGAGTGCCAACACATGGTCATCTTCAACAGGAATGTAGAATCAAAGCATTTTCATCCAAGACCCAGACACCGGAACGAGCAAAAAGGGGAAACTTACTCATCGGGAATCACCACGATTTGGGGACTAGGCGAAGAGCAGAATTTTCCTCTCGTTAGGCAATCCCGATGCCGAGAAGTGAAGATCTAGACTTTCTTCTCCGGTGGGTTGTCTCAGCTTATGGCATCTTGCCCTCTGACGCATTTCGTGATGCGCAAGCACCCCAGCGCTGGATGAGGTCAAGAATGCGAAAGTCGAGAAATCGCATCACAGCCATCGCAAGCTTGTTCCGTTCCGGGGAAACCTGTCTCTTTCTGTCTCTCCCGGGTTCCCATCCCTCGGGCCTGGACTCGACTTCGATGGCCCCAAGCCCGCCAACCGGGACCGATCCGCAGTTCGAGCAGTTCGCGGCGTTCATCTGAAAGGAACGGCGCCATCCCTGCTTTGTGCGCATCACAATTTTAGTAGAAGCTTGTCCAAGATCCCCCCCAGCCTTGCGGTCCCTGCCAGATCATTGGCGAGGGTACGCTGCTTGGCTGTCCCAAGATTCATCAAATATGTAAATGTGAGCCTTGTCGAGATTTGTCGAGACCTGGACCATATTGGCCCCGAGTGCACGATGGCATGACGTCTCAGAGCCCCGATGTTAGACAATGGGCCTTAGATCATGGCTCAACCACGTGTCGTTCCACATCGTGCAGCTGTTCGCTGCCGTTCGTTACCCACGGACCAAGCAGGAAGTACCAGGTTGTCCCATCCGTCCACTAGACGTATCAACGACAAGCTTACCACAGTACGAAATCGTCAACTCGTAACATAGAATGCTCCCTGATCCCCTGAAAGTCATCTCCATGATCGACAAGATTCACAAGATTCAACCAGTGTTCGATGGACCTCCATATCCGGGGTAATGAAAGGGTCAAGAAATCTTGAGAGGTGACCAGTCGCATCTGTCAATGGTCCCCTGGTCGAGGTTTCCAATGAGAAGCGGCAGCCATGCAGCCACCCCTTGTTCAAGCAAAACTTGTCAAACTTCTCTCTACCGACATGATCACTTTCAGCTGGGCGCAACCAAGTCTTGTCTTTGTTTGATTTGACGGAGGCAGAACCCTGACTGCTTTAGGAGATTCAATTGTCAATAGTTCAACGGTTTTCGAGGCTGTGATTGTTTACAATCTTGAATCAGGGTTGTCATTGTTTTCCATTCTCAATATCCCAGAAAAATATGTGATTGATCATCTGTCAGACAGCCCTTCGACCACCCTTCCAGA